GACCCAGTCACAAACGGGTCAGAACCGGACCGAGCACATGGGGGGCCTTGCTAGGTATTTCACAAGCAGCTGGAGCCAACAGGCAGTCGCCCATTGAATGGTGGCCATGAAGGTATCTGCACCACCTGGGCGAGAGGCCCTACCACCCTTATGGGCTACCTGAACTTTGAGGAAAAGACCTTATACACATTTGTAAAACCGTTGGTGGGGGAGAGAAGGGGGGTATCACAAGTAAAAACTACTTTTAATACCAGAGTGTAAAAAGGGCAACCGGTCTTTGCAACAGTGTTGACTAGGAAATTGATTCAAAACACCCTTTTATGGAAAAAAAGATTTCTTTTTTTTCAAGCAAGGAACATTTTCTTAAAAATCTCTTAGTTAACAAATTTTCAGAATGACTCACCCACAGCAGCTGCAAAGTTTAAAAAAGAGAGAAAAAATAAAAATCAAATGTACCACTAAAACTACACCTGCAAGATCCCAAAGAGCTGCTCACTTGACAGAGTAGCCAGTGCTACTTACACCAACAGTTCTGTTAATGCAGAGAGATCATAAAAGCAAAACACTGAGGAATTCCTGTGACATAAAATATTGTGTGATTTTGGTCCTACACCACAGTCTGCTCTTAGTAAATGCAAACTTTTTAGCACAAGATGTGCTAGAAAAAAAAGCTAAAAAAAAAAAAAAAAAGTGAATTTACTGTGATTGGTACATTTATTGGCACCTTAACCATTGTAGACATGGCAAGTTTACAGGCACAGTCTGGAAGTACTGAAGTTCAAGATTACAAATGTCAAACTTGACAAGTAGTGGTCTCGGCAACAAATCTGGTTTGGTACAGTACAAAATTCCGGGCACTTATATTTACTACCCGACCCAAAGGCAGCCAGACTCCCGCGTTCCTTCAGCTGACAGCAGATTAACGTTAGCGTCCAACCTGATATTTTAAATAAGTGTATTTCAACTTAAGTCACTTCAGAGAAGCCAATAGACTTGATTCCCCTTTCCGAAAACGGCACGGACGTTCAGATTCCCAGGGAACATCCATCGCGAGCACGGGACGTGCTGCCAGGCACCAAGGAGTTAGTGACCTTCCCAGGCAGCTCGAGATGGCTCCGCTCACTTGGTCCTCCCTCTCCCTATGCTTGAGTGCACTTGATCAGAACCTATTTATTTATGAGCAACTGACACCAAAATGGGAGGAAACGAGGAGCAGGGGAGGAAATGGCTATTTACAGTGTCAGGATGCAGAACAATCAGCATCTAATAAGCTGCCGTGGCACAGACTACTGTGACCATAGAGAACAAGCAAATCCCTAAGGCCATACAGTACAGAAGTTTGAAGGGTCACACAGGTAAGTAAAGTTATTTGGTTCACTGTAAGTTACACAATTCCTTTCATAATTCACACTGCACCCAACCGAGGAGCAGGTTTGCTCGTGCTCTGCTTCGGCAGCCCCTGTGTTTGCAGGGGTTGGACATAACTGAGGGCACGTGGTTGATCCCAGGAAGCGCACGGGAAGGCCATGGGAATGTCTCCATTTGCTGCAGCACACACAGAGCGGGCTCTGCCAACGCGCTGCTTTTTGCGCTCTGGACAGCGGGGCAGATGGTCCCGTCAGTGCCCATCAGCAGTCAGTGACGGGCCAGAGCCACCTTGTGTGGAGCCCAGCTGTGCGAGGGAAGAGCGCTCGGCCGCTTAATGCCAGCGACGCGGGTCACTTGGTTCCCAACCCCAAGGACCGTGTGGAATAGCCTGCGTGAAGAGCTGCAACGAGGGAGCTAACCCCTCTGGAATCAGCCTTCTTCCTCTGTGCAGTCGTTGCAAACCTGCCTGGCATTAACTCCTTGGTGCCTGGAGGCCACGGCTGCCAATGGATGAACCAGGAACCACTGGCTTGAAGGAAAAACCCCAGTGATTAAACAGGCAAGCGGGGCAGGAAGGGGGTGAATAAGGCGCTAGGTCTTAACTGGGAGTCTCGCCAGGGCCTTTAAAAAAATTCGAATGCCTCCCATTATAAAAACACATACATACCATTGGCTTCGCTTTATCTACAGTAAATTCACAAAAACATTTAAAACAGCAATCTAGATCATCCACTACAAAACTCAGAAGTGACATCTCAGGTTAAAAGCAAAGCTATAAATGTAGTTCCTTAAAAAATGCAAACATATTTCTTTACATACAGACAAATGTTACATGATTGGCTGCTATAATGTGTATATTCTGTTATGTACAAAAAAGTACAGGATTAGCAGACTCTGAGCACAAGCAAAAACCCTTCAAGGACAATCTAACCAAACCACCAAAAACAAAAAGACTGGCTCTTAGTTTGTCGGTCACCATGATTATGTGCTGGCCCCTTTTAAAAAGTCAGTGATTTCTTCCCCCCTCCCCTATTTCTTCACTTGATTTTTTTATAGTTTACAGAAAGCCTTTTTGTGTAATAATCAGTGAATAGAAAAACTTCACCTGCAAATACAAGGTAGAAATGTTATTTCACAGCTATAGGCTGCAGCATTGATCTCTCCAGGTCTCAAATGGAGAATGTACATGTTTGGCTCCCAGTTAATTCCAGATTCTGAGAAAACTGTCCCAAGATCCTGTAGCTACAGCCATGCCATCATCAGTAACACCTAAACAGCTGACACGGTTGTCATGGCCAGCAAGGACACCTGGAAAAGAAGTAGGGAAAATTTTAAAAAACCCCCTTTTACAGCAGAAAAAAAAAAAAAATCATATTCCTACGGTGCAAAAGTCAACGCAAACTTTTTCATTTTGTAATTCTTAGTTACGCACATTTCAGTGACATACCATTTTTTGGAACATATAATTTAACTCCACAAGTTGTTCCTCAGCCTCGAAAGCTGCCGTCTTCCAGCACAGAGCTATATAATGGTCAATGCCCAGTTACAGCAGCTGGGCTGTCTCACTGACAGGATCATTTATTATGATGTATAACAACAGAATACTAAAGATAAAAGAAGCGATGCAGTGTAACAACTGGAAGATCTGATCAAATGCAATGAAGGATAGAGGAAAATACTGTTAAGAGGAAGAAAGCAGATTCCACAACATCAGCAGTTGCAAGGAAAGGAAAGGAAAAACTGGCTCGCTGCAGCTCCAGGCACCCACCTGCTCTTTCCCCTTTCAGGGTGTCCCACACGTTGCAGTTGAAGTCATCGTAACCTGCTAGCAAGAGGCGGCCGCTCTTGGAGAAGGCCACGGACGTGATCCCGCAGATGATGTTGTCGTGCGAGTACATCATGAGCTCCTGGTCTGCACGGAGGTCGAAGAGGCGGCAAGTGGCGTCGTCAGAACCAGTGGCGAACGCGTGTCCGTTAGGGAAAAACTGGAAGTTTTAATTAAGAGACAGGAGTTTGACACCAGAAAGAGACAGCGCGCGTTGTGTCAGCAGCCTCACTGGTTTATCTTGCCCAGGGGACCAGGTAAAGGCTCGGAGGCTCCGCTCAGAGCGTGGGCTCCCATGGGATGCAAGCAAGAAATTCCCTTTCCAAAATGTGCTCCACATCAAAGCCAGTCTGGCAATAACCGTATTGACTGAGACGGGAATGAAAGGCGCTCAGCCCAGCTCAGGATCCTGGTCTAAGTTTAGGAACTGCATTTTTTCTCCTGGTCATGCTTTTGGTATTTTCTCAGCCTTAATCATTTTTCATGTTTATCAAAAACAGATGCAATTTAGGCTTAGGTTTCATTCCCTATTTATCAGAGCTTGTATCTCGCAGATCAGAACATAGTGTTACAATGACAGAGAAAATATAATCCAGTTTATAAATATTACATGATTCCAAGGATGAATATTCAACCTAAGCACTGATTTTAACTTGCCCTTCCAGAACATTTTGCTGAAAGCTCTTCCCAATGGAAGAGATCAAGCATAGCTTTGTTAAACAAGAAAGTTTAAGATGGGGACATTTGGCTATTTTATTCCCTCACAGCAGATCATGTTAACAAGAATTCTCAGTTTTAACACGCTGCCACAGTGAATAAAGTTTCCCTCCATTCTGTGCTTCTAAATAAAGTAAATAATAATAATAATAAAAGAATTACTGCACTTAAGGCCTCAGGTGTTGATCAAGACAGAGCTGAACCTATTTCAAAACCATTTCAGTGCATCACCAATAGTAGTAATAACTTATATATTAGATCATCAGTTATTAAAAAGCGATTATTTTCCTAATATTAAAGGCCCTACCTACTTTCTACCTAGACGTGTTCATTATACACCACGTGGCAATCTCTGCCCTACCAAAGGCACCTGCATTTAAAGGCAAGGTAACAGAGTAAACTCAGCTGCTCTTATGCACAGCTCTACCCCGTCGGCCCCTCTCGCTCACTCACACAGACGGCGTTGATGTCCGACACGTGCCCGGTGAACGACTGCCTGCACATCCCGTCGCGGATGTCCCACAGCTTGGAGGAGGCGTCGCAGGCGCCCGACACGAACGTCCTCATGTCGGGGCTGAGGGACAGGCTCATCACGTCGCCCGTGTGCCCCGTGAACGTGGTGGTCTGCTGCCCGGTCTCGATGTCCCACAGGGCGCTGCGGGCACAGGCAGGGCGTTAGCACAAGGCAACTAAGTAGCCCAGAGTTTCAGTTCATTGCAAATTAAGGTATGGAAAAGGGGGGAGGCCAAGAGCTCAAAAACTAACCAAGTGGTGTCTCCTGAGCTGGTGACAATTTGGTTATCATCTAGAAAGCGGCAACAGGACAAGTATCCTAAAAAAAACAAAACAGTTCGGTTAGTTTTAGACCTAGGGGAATGGCTGAAGTTTACCATCCCAAAGCAGGAATTAACGTTTCCCCGTCTCTAACGTGCAAACCAACCAAATTATTTCACAACACCCCTCAAAGAAGTGCAACTGTTCCGCCTCACGCGGTGAAGAAATGGAAGCCGAGCCCAAACCGAGCCTGACCTGTGTGTCCCGGCAGCTCCCGGCTCACTCGCACGTTGCCCTCCCTGGTTTTCAGGTTGTAGATGGAGCAGATGTTGTCCAGGCCGCCGCAGGCCACGTAGTTGCCCGAGGGAGCGTAGGCGCAGGTCATGACCCAGGAGGAGCGCAGCGGGATGGCGTGCATCTGCACGGGGACACACGGACACGGAGGGGCTCGGCCGCCGCTCGCACCTCCGTTCACTTAAAATAAATGCTACAGCCCAGGCTAATGTTTCCATACGGTCACGATTCATATATAGGGACACTGGACAGCTTGCAGCAGCAGATCATCTCTCCACACCCTACCTAAACCTCACTCATTTGACACTTTTTTTTTTTCCCTCTCCTTTCTCTAACACAAAAAGCAAAGTATTCTTGTAAATTCTGAGGTTCTACATCTCCACAACTTAAAATAAACCAAAATAGTTTATTTCAGAAGCAACAACCTACAGAGAATAAAAGCTACAAGCTACCATACTAGCAAGCTGCAGTGAGGACGCTTAGCATTACACAGACCTAACTCTGCGACATAAAACTGACACACGTCTTTAGCAAGTTGCTGGTCACAAAAGGAAGGAGGAAAAAAAATGAGATCTTAAATTTGGAGAAAAAAAAAAAACACACTTTTTCAAACGGAAACAAACACGGAAACACAGAGAAGTGCTTAAACAGACAAATTAGGCATGAATTATTGCTACGTATTATAAATAACTACCTTATTTGTTGTATAACTATCCCAAATGATTAATTTTCCATCTTGAGAGGCACTGACTAGTAGCCTAAATATAAACACAGAAATAAAATGTTAATGTAAAATAAACCAAAAAATCACTTCTCAGAATAGACATATATCATGCATAACTACCAAGTGATTCAGAAAGACTTTCACTATTTCCCATTGCTTACTTATTTTTAAGGCCCGCGTTTGTTGGAAAATCTGCAGAGAACAGTGTATTACCTGCCAGATGAATCCCCCCTCTCCAGAGGGACTCGTGATTAACAACAGACAAAAACAAGCACCATCCCTCAAAGCACATACTTTATAAACTCTCCCTCATTTGGCTTTTATCTTTCATACACTAATACTTCAACTATGGAGCTATACAGCGATGAACCACTAAAGCTACCGGAAAAAGTCTGGAGGGCAGATTTTAGAAATATTTGTTTTTTGACTATATGAGGGAGAACAGAATACGGCTGTATTAATATCTGAACATTAGTTGCTTCAAGCAAAAAAATAGAAACCCAAAAGAAAACCCACAAAAACCCACCACACTCACAAGGGTGCATAACAAAACCCCTCTCTACCAGAGGACCCAGTAACTTGACTTGCTACATACATATAAAGACCAAAAAGTACTTGGGATGTTATAGACTTACTCAAGATTTTGGAAATTACAATACCTATCATCCCACAGATATGCCCCATCAGATACCCTCCACTTCAGGGGAT